AAAGGAGAAAAACCAGTTATTGTGTTTTCTATGCCATTTCTTCGGTATCTAGCCTTACTGTCCCGATGTCAATCTCTTTCAACTAATCAATTTCAAAAAAAAATAAAAAAAAAGACTCTGTCGACGGCTTGATACAAGCCACTGCAACACTGCTCTTCTCATTGAAAACTTGAAGACAAATTAAGGGACCACCAAATGGACCATTAACTTCTTGGTAAATACTAAAAACAACACTATCTTTTTTTATATGAATCATATATTATCATATTGAATTTCAACTTTAAAGTTTTGTAAGTTTTTTAATTTTATTTTAAAATTTTGTTTTATACTTGTTAGCAGATATGTTTTAACAAAAAAATTAGTACTCTCTCTATCTTAGAATAATTGATCTTTTTTATTTAAAATTCATCCCAGAATAATAGTCTTTTTTTTTTTTATTTTGAGGAAAATAAATAGTTTTTTTCTTCTACTTTAACCGATAATTATCTCTTAACTTTAATTATTTATTTTCTGATGGAAGTAGATATTTATTCTTAGTTATATTTTAAGTATAAAATAGGTAAAGATAAAAATTATTTTCAAATCTTTCATTTGAAGATAAAACAAAAAAATTTATTATTTTAGTATGGAGGGAGTAATATTTAAGTAATGAAATTTATTGATTTTTTATTATCACAAAAAATTGTATAATTTCCTTTTAGGATTTAGAGTTGTTGAGATTACAAATAAAATTGAATATTATGGTAATATTGAAGTTAAATGGAAATTATATGGAATAGAATTGGATCAGAGTAAAAAAATTGAAAAAAAGAAAGAAAGAAAGTACAAATCCATAAAGAGAGCATATATGAATCCAATAAAAGGAAAAACCCTTGGATATAGTCACATAGAGAAAAGCAATAGGAAAATAAATTAGTATAAAAGGAAGATAAAATCGTATAAAGTGTAATTAGCTTGTAAAAAGGGGAAAAAAATTTGTTTGATTGTAGAAAGTGATAGGGTGAAGAGATAGGATGTTACTGTATTTCTGAACTATGTCAATGGTTTGTGGAGACAAGAAAATTAGAGGTCTATAGTCTTATTTACAAGTTAATTACTTTAATGCTTACTCTTTCAGTTTCTATAGCAATAACAGAAAAAGTATTTTCTACCATGAAAATTGTGAAAACGAGACTTTGTAGCAAAATGGAGAATGAATCTCTCTCAAACTCTTTGATTGTTTATATTGAAAAGGAAATAGTTTAGTTATTTAGTGTAGACAATATTATAAATAGATTTTGTGACATGAAGACTCGTCAAGTACTATTTTAATATATGATATAAATGTAAGTTTTCGAAATTACAATACATTATTTTAAGACTTGAAAAGCCAACCCCCCTAACTAAAATTCTTGGCTCTACCCTTGGCATTCAATGTCTTCGTGGGTAGTGCAACTGTAGATTTTTATGCCAAATTGAATTCTACTGAGTAAGCAAAAACGGCTTTTGATGAAGATAACAAGAGCCAAATGTTGTGTCTTCCACAACTTTGACGAGTGGATACTTGAAGAGAGAGAGGTTAGGGATCCTATGTTGCCGTTCGAGATGACGTTTGAGAGGATTAATTAGGGGTGGGCAAAAGTTGGGAAATTGTACTGTCCCATCGGTGTGTACCGAGTTTTTGGGAATCGGTACCAGGGCATGTACCGACAAAAATAAAAAACCGATATAAAAGTGTTACCAATTAATATTTTGGGATGGTATTCAGATACTAATTTAAAAATACTGAGTACCGAGTACTGTACCAAATATTGTATATTATAATTAAATATTTTAAATATATTTATAAATTAATCTAGTAAAAAATTAAAATAATTAAATATTTGTAATTTAATTGTAAATACAAAACAATCCTCAAAAGACAAAACCCTTAATATTTTATCAGTCAGTCTACCTTCTACGGTTCTATACCGACTATGTTCGTCTATTGTCTACGGTTTGCTTTGCTCCTTTCCCCTCGACGACGATGATTCTACAATTGTGAGCAGGCAACGATGACGAGTGGCACTACGATTGATGACCAAATAACAACCACCAGTAAGTTTATCTATAAACTAGAATAGTACACACTTTACTTGATCTTTCTTCAAAAGATGGGTGTGATCACTATGATGTGCAAATTCTTAAACAATTCCCTTTCAACTGCTTTGAATCCAAACAAAATTTCAAAAGATTGGAAGCTTTATTCTTGCAAAACTTGAAAATTGAAATAATAGAGAAAGAGAGAGTACAGGGGAAATGAGAGGTGAGGAAGGAGACAAGTTGGAGAGGATGAAAAAGTGAGACTGTGAGAGAATCGCATACCATGCCCCATCTCTATGATGCTTCTTTGAGGCTTTGCTTTTTTATATGTGTTTCATCTACTAAATTAGAAGGAAAAGCCAAAAGCCCCTGTTTTGCTCTTTATCTTTAAAAAATGGGGCTTTGGTGAAGAAAGACGAAAGACCATGTGATTAAAGAAAAAGTAGGAAGAGGACAATAAATTATATAATTGCTTGCAAGAAGCCAAATAGGTCCATGTCCATGTGCAAAGGGCCCACCGCAATGCAAGTGCTTGTATTTTTATTATTTGACTTTGAAGATTCTCAAATTTAGTAGTTGTTTTACTTGCCAAACTTCTAGTGTCAACACAATAGATATATGCTCTGTTTACCCTTTTTTAGTTGGTTTATTTGCTTTTATTCCTTTGCAATTTTCAATTTAGTTTCTACTTACTCTATTTGTCATAGATATTTGCTATATTTCCCTCTTTTTAGTCAATTTATCTACTTTTTTTCTTTGAATTTTTCTGTTTAGTTTCTACTTACTTTATTTGACAATTGACATGTCTTTTCTATTTTAAATATAGAATGCTATAAGTGATGTCAATTTCAAGAATTCAAATGAATAGTTACCCTTCTTAATCAGTAGAGGGATCACCAAGAGGAGAACAAATGTTTGAATTTAATTCTTTGGTATATATACTTTGCATATTTATAAAGTGTCCTATGTTCCCTCCCTATCTTATGTACTATTAATTAATGTTTAAATTCTTACAATATTTTTTAATGCTTAGGCACCTCCACTAAGATATGATTTGGAGGAAGAATTTGAAAGCTATGAGAAAAGGATGGAAGAAATGGAAAAGACTAAAGGAAAGAAAATGGAGGAAGATGATGAGGAATATAAACAAGACTTAGAAAAGGAGGAAGAGGGAGACGATGACAATGAAGATGATGAGGAAGATGATATTGATGACAGTCTTGGTAAAAGTAGTGAGGGGAATATCACTAGAGCTAAAGAAAGCACAACAAATAGAACTAAAAAAAGGGGGAGGAGTTTCTTAGAAGAATCAACCTCTTGAGGTTATTGAACAATCTCAACCTCAAGACACTCAACGAAAACCAAGAGGTAAAACTTCTAAAGCTTGGAAATATTTTGTGTGCTTTATTGGTCCTGATGGGAAGCAAAAAGAGAGGTGTAAATGGTGTCATGTTGTCATAAGAGCTTGTTATTCAAATAATGGGACTTCAAGCCTTAAGAAACACATAACTAGATGCAAATTAAATCCAGAAAATTTGAAAAAACAAGCACAATTGAAGTTGACAAAGCTTACAACTATTGATGGAGGTGAGGTAGTGCATTTAGGGCGGTGGAAGTTTGATGAAGTGGCAGCTGGGAAGGCAATTGTTGTGATGATTATTTTAGATGAGTTACCTTTTAGTTTTGTTCAGAAAGAAGGATTTTTACATTTTTGTGCAGTATGTCTTCCACAACATTTTAAGCCTCCATCTAGGAGAACTATCACAGGAGATATCCTTGCTTTATATTGTGACCTTAGAGATGATTTGTCCAAATTCTTTAAGAATAAAAAGATGAGTCTCTTTAACTACAAATACATGGACTTCACAAAATAAAATCTCTTATATGTCTCTCATTGCTCACTTTATTGACAACAATTGGAATTTGCAAAAAAAGATATTGTACTTTGTCCCTGTGGATAGTCATAAAGGTAAGGACTTAGGGGATATGTTAGAGAGATGCTTAAGAAAGTGGGGCATTGATAGGGTCTATTGTATTACTGTTGACAATGCTAATGCAAATGATCTGTTGGTTAGGTCATTGAAAGAATGCCTTAACAAATGGGGGACTAGTGTGCTAAGGGAGAAAGATTTGCATATGTGTTGTGTAGCACACATTACAAACTTAGTTGTCCATGATGGTATGAAATTATACAACAATTTTGTGGAATCAATAAGAGCTTGTTGCAAGTGGGCTAGGCAAAGCACTTTGAGGGTTAAAACTTTTAACGAAACAGTTGCATTTGAGGAGATTGATTTTAAAAAGAATGTGTGCCTAGATGTTCCTCATAGGTGGAACTCATCTTATGATACATTGCCAAGGGCTGAGAAGTATGAACAAGCATTTGCAAGGTAACATACAAATTATTAATTTTAGATCAATTTTTTTTATTAAATTTCCACTGTAATTTTTTTCTAAATCTGATTTTTTTTTAAAATTGTTAAATGTGGAATAGGCTCGCAAGGCAAGAAAAAACATTCAGGGATGAATTGAGTGCCCCAAGTGCTATTGGGATTCCAGACTTTGAGGATTGGGAAAATATCAAAAAATTAACTAGATTCCTTGAGCATTTCTCTTTGTTTACTTTGAACGTAAAGTGTAATTTTAGTAAATAAGATTTTAAATAAATTAATATCTTCTTTTGTGAAATTTTTTTGCCTTCATACTCTTATAAACAAATGGCAAATCTCCAAAGAAAATAACTTAGCTGTTGTGGCATGGAGCATGAATAATTGTAGTTCTTAATAATTAATAAGTGAAAGAATACTTGATAATTATTGTTTCATCCTTTTATTTTTAGTAAATTTAATTTTTTATTTATGATGTTTAAATTTAATCCTTTATTTTTTACTTTTAAAATATTATTTAATATTTTATTTTATCTTTATTTCAAAAATAAAAAAACTACCAATTTCTAGTGACCCCTTGAAGTTCTTAGCTTTGTAATTGAGGCCCAATAGTTCTTTTTGGCCAAATCAACTTTCCTTTTTGGTTTTAACTTATTAAATTTATAAGTTGAGATTTGCCACAAAAAAATATATGGATTCAATTACTAATTGTAAAGAAGTTTGAGGGCTTATTTTAAAGTCATTCTGTTTTTTCCTTTAGTTCGTTCAGTTTTTTTACTGGATGTAGTATTGCCACCCATCACTTTGTTAATTCATTTAATTTAAATAGTTTAACTATTAAAACTAATTAATTCAATTGTTGAAGACTTGAAGTTGCTTTTAATTTTAACATTGTAAGATCTTTTTTCCTATAGGTGAGTGGGAGCTGGTATTATACTATTAATTTGTTGTTGCATGAATTGTGTGAGATTAATACTGTTATAAACAAATGGGGAATATTCAAGAGAATGACTTAGTTGCTGTGGCATGGAGCATGAAGGAAAAGTTTGCAAAATATTGGGGGGATCCAACAAAAATGAATAAGAACATTTTTTTTGCAATGGTGTTGGATCCTAGTAAAAAAATGGGAGATTTAAATTGCCTTCTTGGGGATTTGTATCCAGAGCTGGAAGGAAAAGCAAAAGAATATGGATGTTGGATTGAAGTTGAATTGAGAAAGCTATTTGATCTTTACAAGGCTGAGATATAAAATCAGAATGAGAATTGTGGCAGTAATAGCACAAATGCCATGCCTAGTTCTAGTGGGGGACAAGGGCCTGATCGAAGTAACCTTAATCACCCTGTTGGAACTAAACCAAGTAGTGAGAATGGTGTTGGTGGTGTTGTGAGCTTAAAGGTAAATAGGAATAGTAACATTTCTTCTTGCCAAAGTGAACTAGGAAATAAGAAAGGGATGAAGGATACTGAGAGATTCAGAAGATATTTATCAAAGGTAGCTCAGGAAAAGAATGAGCAATCAGAGCTTGACATCTACCTTAAAGATAAATTCAAAATCATGGAAAATGATGCTCAATTTTATGATGTTCTTTAATATTGGAAGCTCAATAGTGCAAGATTTCCTATTCTTACAGCAATGGCATGAGACATTTTAGCTACTGCAGTTTCAACAATGGCATCTGAATCAGCTTTCAGCACAAGTGGTCGTGTGTTAGATGACTTTATGAGTTCCTTAACTCCTAAGATGGCACAAGCTCTAGTATGCGCACAAGATTGGCTTAGGGAAAAAAGAAAACATGTCAATATTACTCTTGATTGTGAGGATTTAGATGAATTAGAGGAAGCAGAAGCAGTTAAGTTTAATATTTTTAAAAATAGATTGTCTACCATTTAAATTCTGATTTTAAAAATTTTGTTATTTTGGCTAAATGTTATTATTGGATTTTATGGTTTGCAGAATATAGGAAGAAGTTACGTCCATCACTTTTAGATGGTTGAAATTTTCTGCGGTGCATGTGAAGTTCTGGACTTTTTTTTTTTTGGGGTTGCTTGTTGTTACAAATGTTGTTGGTTGTTGCTATAAATACTGCTTTTGGATATGTTTTTTGGGTTGCTTCTTGCTACAAATGCCACTAGCTATTGCTATTTGGGTTGCTTGTTGCTGCAAGCTTGCAAATGTTGTTGGTTGTTGCTATGCACTTATACATATTGCTTTTGGATTTGGTTTTTGGTTACTTGTTGCTGCAAATACTGCTAGTTGTTGCTATAAATGCTGCTATTACTTATTTTGTTTCCCACAATTGCAAAGTTGCATTAGGTGTTGAATTAATGACTTGTTTCATGGACAATGGATTTTTATAGATTTTTGGCTTTGTCATGTTTGCCGCAATATTGATTAAAGTGTTGAGAATAATTGTTACGATTCATTAAAGTAATTTTAGTAATGTTATGTTGCTAGTTTTAACAATTTTAAGAAGTAATTTAGTTAAATATAATCACAATAGTACCTGTCAGTATTGTACCATTCAATTGGATCAATTGTAAGCAGTACACATTGGGTTGGTACTTGGTTTCTATTTTAAAAATATCGAGTACCGATTCCCAAATAATGTACCAGTTAAACATATTCGGGTCGGTACTCAATACAGGACTAAAGAATCAGAAATAATCAGTGCAATATAAAACCGGTACACTACTGTATCAATGCCCACCCACCCCTAGGATTAATGTTGTCTCATGGAATACAATGATCGGTGGGTATAGCCAAACCGGGCCAAATAAAGAGACTCTAATACTTGTGTTTGAGATTATTGAAAAGTGTTAAAACTTTTTAAATATTTAATTATTAGAAAAATTATATTAATTTTTGATAATTGTTATGAAAAATGTGTCATATATTAATATAATTAATGAATTTTTTAAAGTATCATTTAAAGTTAATTGAATTATAATAAATTAACATTTTAAATAAAATAATATGCAAAAAAGTATTTGAGCTTGTATTCTTATTTTATCTCAAGAAAAATAATTCAAAGACAATTTTTTATAAACATTATGTATTATTTAAATAATTGATTCTTTTTTTTTCATTTAAAATTTATAATATTAACTGTTTTCACTTATTTAACAATACGTGAAAGTTGTATAAAAGTTATTTTTATATCATTACCCGTTATCTCAAATCTCTTTATGGAGATGTTTGAAGAGGGGTATGGTTATGGTCTCTTGACGCCCACAATTTGAAATTAAAGTAGAGGAAGACATGTTGTGTAGTTTTAATTGTATTAAACTACACAACACTATAAAAATTGTTGGGAAGAACGGAGTGTCACCTGAGCACAACAGAAACAAAAGTAACACCAAAATCTTCCCCAATCTATTTGAAATTGTTAGGAGAAAGCTAAATTGAGTCCAAATAAATTATGGCAGCAGCTAAAAATATGCAAAACAATAGAAATGGCAAAGGCAAACCAACCACCACAAGAGACACAATATTTTACATGGAAAACCCCAAAAATGGGTAAAGACCATAGGACATCTAGTCCACTAAAGAAGCTCCACTATAATAAAAGAGAGTACACAATATCCTTTTCTAAAAAAGGCACAAAAAACAACTCCAAATAAGAGAAATAACAGGCCATAAACCAATAAAGAAAATGGACCACAAGAAAATAGATCACCCAAAAATGAGCTACTACTTTGGGCACAAATTAGAATCTACAGAGCTCCAAACGAAAAAATGACTGTTCAAAATGTAGATCAATGTCTTGTGAACACTCAGATAAAATTTCAGTTCAATCCAACAATGAACTTTTGCGTATCGGACAAAGTTGCAAAACTATGCACTGTACCAAAACTGCATAATTCTCTTGTGCTTTCTTTCCCTTTTTGTCGGCTGGTCCACTCACGTGCTTTCCACTTTCTAATGTCCAAATCAAACTTCTTTGTTTGTTCTATGGGGTTGGAGAATATGGCGTCATGTGGGCTTAACAATTGTGGGCTTAGTCCACAAATATTGGCCATTTCTTCACATAAGAGGGATAGGCCAAACCCAACAATTCTCCCTTCTTGACTATGTGGAGGAGATTGCCCTCCCAACGATCAAGCAACATGCCTCAAACTTTTCTCTTGGCAAAGCTTTAGTCATTATATTAGACCCATTCTCATCAATGTGAATTTTTTTGGAACCCAAGACATCTCTAATCTCATGATATTTAACATCAATATGCTTTGACCTATCATGGAATGTAGAGTTTTTGCTTAAATGAACAGCACTTTAGTTATCATAATGAATCACATACCTCTTTTTAGCAAACATGAGTTCAAGTAAATCTCTTCATCTAAAGCAACTCCTTGCAAGCCTTAATAGCTGTTATAAACTCTACTTTAGTGGTAGAAAGTGCAACACATCTTTGTAATGTTGACTGCCAAGACACAGCTCCCTCTACAAAGGTAATTAGGTAGCTCGAAATAGATTTCCTTGTATCAATATCCCTAGCCATATTTGAGTCAATATATCCTGCAAGAATAAGCTCTCCTACTCCAAAACAAAGACTCAAACTAGAAGTGCCTCAAAGATATGTCATAATCCACTTCATTACATTCTAATGTTCTCTCCCTAGATTGGAAAGAAAATAGCTAACTAGGCCCACTACATGAGCAATATCTAGTCTTGTGCAAACCATTGCATACATTAAGTTACCTACCGTAGATGCAAGAGGAACTCTCTACATATCTTCCTTCTCTTAATTGATTCTTGCTCAATTTGAAGTGCATAGTTAAAGGAGTACTAACCACCTTAGCTTTGTTCATTTGGAACCTTTGAAATACTTTTTCAATGTACTTCTCTTGTGATAACCATAACTTCTTGGATGCCTTATCATGACTAATCTTCATGCCAAGAATTTATTTTGTTGGTCCTAAGTCTTTCATATCAAAAGACTTATTCAATTATTGTTTCAACTTCTTGATCTTAAAAGTATTTTGACCAACAATAAGCATGTCATCAACATAAAGCAACAAAATAACAAAGTCATTAGCAGAGAATTTCTTTACAAAGACACAATGATCTGAAGAAGTCTTTTTGATCCATGTTGTCTCATAATAGATTCAAACTTCCTATACCACTGCCTGGGAACTTGTTTTAGGCCATACAAGCTCGTTTTTAATCTACACACAAAATCTTCTCTACCTTCGACTTTGAAACCTTCTAGTTACTCCATATAGATCTCCTCATTTAAATCACCATGGAGAAAAGCAGTTTTCGCATACATTTGTTTAACCTCCAAATCAAGACGTGTTGCTAAACCCAACACAACTCTGATTGAAGACATTTTTACAATTGGAGAAAAAATCTTACTAAAATCAACACCCCTTTTTTTACTAAAGCCATTAATAAGACGTCTTGCTTTGTATTGTGGAACTAAGGTGCCATCTTTATGTTTCACCCTGTAAACTCACAGATTCTTCAAAGCTTTCTTGTCTTTCGACAACTTAACCAAATCAAGGGTATGATTGTCAAGCAAAGATTTCATCTCATCTTTCATGGCTTTAAGCCACTCCATTTTCTACTCACTTTCCATGGCTTCTTGATAACTTTTAAGTTCTCCCCCATTCGTGGCAGTACATACTCACTAGAAGGATAATGAGATGACAATCTTCGTTCCCTACTAGATCTTCTGGGTGGATCTATTAGGGCTGACTTAATGCACTCCAAGAGGGGAGGTGAATTGGAGTTGGAGAATTTTCACCTTTTTGCAACCACTAAACAAAAATTAAAGAAAAAGTTGAGAAGAAGAGCTTACACAATGATTTTATAGAGGTTCTGTCCAACCACTTGAAGCCTAGTCCTCTACCTTGGCTTCACTCACCAAGGATTTCCTCCACACTCTCCACTAACAAAAATAATGGTGGCTTAAAGGAGCCACTCAATCCTTTACAAGAAGAAGGGTGTTTCTCTCAAATCTCACCCCTTTACACTTAAACCCCAAAGATCCTCTCTACAGATCACTCTTGAAGGAATCAACACAACCCCAAGATCACTCACTAATAGCATAAGAAAAGGATTACAAACAAAGATCTCTCAAAGATCAAAATCTCTAGTTAAAGCACAAGTTGGTGGGTAAAGATATTCAATATAATGTTCTCCTAACTTGTTCATATCTGTTACCAACCATATTTATAGCCCCTTGCTCGAAAATATCTGTTTGTAGTCATTGGGAGTCATTAAATGCTCTGTAGGACGCATGGCTCGAGTTGCAGAACTGTCAAGAGAGCCAGCTTAACTTCCTAAAGCCGACTCTGTACAGTCGGCTCACCATTTCTGCAACCGACTTTCCGAGATTGCACCCCATTCTGTTTTTCTCAAGAGCCAGCTGCAAGACTTTGAGTTGGCTTTGGAATTTCGATTTTAAATACATTCAAAAGAGTCGACCGTTGTGCATTAAATGCACCCTCACAGCCGGCTATAAAGTTGGAGCCGGCTTTGCGTCTTTTCTTCGCGCGTGCCAAGCAACGGCCTTCAAATTTTTGCCCATAGAGCCGATTGTAGCTCCTAGAGCCGGCTCTCTACACTTCCATTTCACCAGAGCCGGCTGCAGCTTTTAAGAGCTGACTCTCTGCACATTTTGAATCCTTTTGGTCTATTTTTAGCGCAATCCAAGTTTACTTGTAATCTTTTAGCAACTTAACTACATACTTAAATAAATCAATTAGTCACTCAAATGTGTTTTGTAATAATCAAAATCACAGGTACAACAATTAGGACCTCTATAGGAGCATCCTACTGATCATTCACTGCCTCATTTAAAGAAGCATCAAGATCATTTGCATCTACATGATCATTTTGAACTTGATCACCATCATGGATGTTATCTTGGATTTCATCATTTTGAAGATGATTTTCAACTGCATTTGGTGCCATAGTCTCAATAGTTGGCCTAGAATCAATCAAACTCTCATTGCTTTGAAGACTTGTCTTCTCAACCTTATCAATATCTTCAATAGTTTGGTCCTCAAAGAATACTACATCATGACTTCTAACTAGTTTCTTTTCAACTAGATTATACAACCGATAACCAAATTCATCTTGACCATAACCAATGAAGATACACTGCTTGGTTTTAGCATTTAACTTTGTTCTCTCATCCTTGGCGACATGCACAAATGCTTTACATCCAAAGACCCACAAGTGATCATAAGAAACATCCTTGCCATAGCAAACTCTATCAGGAACATCATTATCCAAAGCAATAGTAGGAGACAAATTGATAACATGTGCCACTGTATTAAAAGCTTTTGGCCAAAAAGTTCTAGGCAATTTAGCCTTAACAAGCAAACATCTAACTCTCTCCATCAAAGTTCTATTCATCCTCTCAGCTAAGCCATTCAACTAAGGAGTCTTGGGAGGAGCTTTCTGATGCCTAATACCTTGCTCCCTACAATAGTTATCAAATGGTCAAGAATATTCACCACCATTGTTTGTAGAGATACACTTCAGTTTCTTTCTTATTTGTCTTGCAACCAAGACCTGAAATTGCTTAAATGTATCAAGAACTTGATCTTTGGTCTTCAAGGGATAAACCCAAAGCTTCCTAGAATGATCATCAATAAAGGTGACAAAATAAAGTGCACCATTATGTGATCTCACCTTCAAAGGTCCACACACATCAGAATGCACAAGTTCCAACAAATTTGGCTTTCTTGAAGGAGGATGGTTTTTGAGAGATACTTTTTCTTTGTTTCCTAGCCAAGCAATGAACACATTTTTCCAACTTTATTTCCTTTAATCCATAAAGCACATCCTTCTTAGCCAAACAATCTATCATCTTCACACTCATATGGCTAAGCCTCTTGTGCCATAACTCTGATGATTCATTTTTTCGAACTACATTAACATAGCCACTAGAAATAGAACCCTACATCAAATACAAGTAGGAAGACTTGGAGCCTCAAGCCACAACAAGGGAACCCTTAGTGAGTTTGCATTGCCCATCACTAAAAGAACTACAATAACCATCATCATCCAGCTTTCTTTCAGAAATTAAATTAAGTCAGATATCAAGTGCATGCTTGACATCCTTAAGAACCAACTTTGTGCCATTATTGGTTTGCAAGCAAACTGTTCCTATACCAATCACTTTAATCTGGCCATGATTACCCATCTTCAATACCCCAAAATCACCAGAAGTATAAGATGTGAAAAATTCCCTCCTATGTGTAACATGGTATGCAGCACTAGAATCCACAACCCAACTTGTCTTATGAGATGTAAAATTGATGACATTTTCATCACCAGCAAAAAGAAGATCACCATTAATGGCAACAGCAACATGGTTCTCATTATCACTGTTTTTCTTCTTCTCCTGCCTCATTTCCATTTTAAGATGAAAACAATATTTCTTGATATGTCCCTTTTTACCATAATGGTGACATTCAAAATCTTTGTACAATTTGGCCTTGACTTGCTTCTACTTTTATCTCTGCCTCCTTAACCCTTATATTTGCTTCTCCCTCTATCTTCAGTGACTCGATCATTTGATTGTAAGGTTGAAAAAGATGTAGCCTAATTAATTTTTCTCACCTCTTCATTCAAAACACCAATCTTAGCATATTCCATGGTCATAACACCATTAGGAGCAGCATTGATCCATGAAATCCAAAAAGTTTCTCATGAATCAAGCAAAGTATTAAGCAGCTAAAGTCCCTGAACCTCATCATCGAACCTAACACCCATATCAGACAAGTGATCAAGGATGCCCTAAAACTCACTAACATGATCTAAAATAGGACTTCCTTCTTTGTACTTCAAATTTATTGATTGCTTTAGTTGGAACAACTTGTTGTTGTCAATTTTGTAAGCACAAAGTGTCTTAAGCTTTCCCCACAAAGTTCTAGCATGTGTCTCATTTGCAATGTGATTCAAGACGTTGTCTTTTATCCACTGCCTTATATAGCCACAACTTTGTTGGTGCTCAAAAGTCCATTATTCATCGGTCATAGAATCTGGTTTTTGAGTCCTAAACACCGACAAATGCTTCTTTTTCACAAATAAGAGATCATTTTACTCATATTAGCCTCCATAATTAAAATAGATATATGAAAAACAAGCCAAATGCTTTGATACTAGTCTGTTAGGAAGAACGGGGCGTCACCTGAGCACAGTGGAAACAAAAGCAACACCAAAATCTTCCCCAATCTATTTGAAATTGTTAGAAGCAAGCTAAATTAAGTCCAAATAAATTATGGCAACAACTAAAAATATGCAAAACAATAGAAATGGCAAAGGCAAACCAACCACCACAAAAGACACAATATTTTTACGTGGAAAACCCCAAAATGGGTAAAAACCACAGAACATCCAATCCATGAAAGAAGCTCCACCATAATAAAAGAGAGTACACAATATCCTCTTCTAAAAAAGGCACAAAAAAAAGCACCAAATAAGAGAAATAACAAGCCACAAACCAACAAAGAAAATGGGACCACAAGAAAACAGATCACCCAAAAATGAGTTACTATTTTAGGCACAAATTAGAACTTACAAAGCTCCAAACGAAAAAGTAACCATTCATAATGTAGATCAACGTCTTGTGAACACCTAGAGAAAATTTCAATTCAATCCAATGATAAACTTTTGTAGATTGGACAAAGTTGCAAAACTGTGCACTGTACCAAATCTGTAGAATTCTCGTGTGCTTTCTTTCCCTTTCTACCAACTGGTCCACTCACGTGCTCTCCACTTTTTGTTGTCCAAATCAAACTTCTTTTTTTGTCTTAAGGACTACAAAATATGGTTTCAAGTGGGCTTAGTCCACAAATATTGACCATTTCTCCACATAGGAGGGATAGGCCTAACCCAACAAAAAGGAGTTAAATCCCTTAATATTGGTACCTTCTCCCATACAATAACCTCTATTTTTAGAATCTGATCCAGTCTAACATGTAAAACTGGTTCCCTCTAAAATATCTGCTTCTATTAAAAAAATATTAAGCATTGACCTCTGAAGTGGTTGAGGTTTATGTTAGGTAAAGGAAGAAATAACAGTAGTAACTTTGGGCTTCGACTTCGACTAGAGTTCAGCCCACCACTCAATAGATCAGCATTTAGAAATGGGCCGAAGTGGCCCCACAGACCGACACGCGTAATTTTTGTTTTGGATAATCATAAACACGCGTTACTTGAAAGCGTATTGATGAACTGACCCACCCCTTAACCATGGTTAGAAAATCGGGGTTAGCCTGACCTCTGATTAGGGTTACATCTTGCCTCAGGTTTAGCTCCTCAGATCTCTACATCCTTGCAGATTAGGGTTTGAAAAAAGAAAAAAAAAATCCCAATTCTTCAATTTGATTTCGATTTCACATTAGGTTATTGAATTGTTTCGATCTCTCATCGAATTGTGCTCTGCGACGAGAGGGATTTCGGCTTCCAGAGGAAGATAGGTAAAGAAGGAATGGAAACGCAACGGATAATCGAATTCCCGCACAAGAACATGGACAAGCGACCTAGGAAGAGACCCAGGTTAACATGGGACATGCCTCCTCCTCTTCCTCCTCCAAAGGTTTGATTTTTCTTCGTATTTATGCTTATTGGGATTTATCCATCTCCGTTTGGATAGATGTTAGCTTGTTCTTATTTGTGTGTGTGTGTGTGTGTGTTTCTTTTTTTTTTTTTTTTTTTTTTTTTTGGGAGAATGTTATTGAATTGTTGGGAATTTTATCAAATTTCTTGTCTTCTTGATGTATGTAGTTTTCTTCTTCTGAATTTCCCTCGTTTCCGTTTTTAACTTGTGGGGTATATCTATATCAAAAAAAAGAAATTTTGATTATGGATTTTTGATAGCTAGATGTTATCAGTATGGGAAGATAATAATGAAATTGACTTTGAATCATGCAAAGAAATTTGTATACCTCAGAAAGCCTTTCTGATTTATATAGACAATTAAATGCTAGATGTTTATATAAAGAATCTAGATTTAGCTCCTTTTTAATGTTTTTGATTTTATGGTTATCCAGGTGCTTCCAGCAATTTATTGTGCCCAGGAATTTGCCAATGGAGGAATCCCCAATTATGCGCATCCTAACATTTTTTACAGAGGACTCCAAAGTTCTCCTCCCCGGAGGGCTGATGATAAAGATGGTCATTATGTTTTTGTCATTGGAGAAAATCTAACTCCCCGCTGTAAGTAATACCCTCTGTTAGCACAGTTTATTGTCTCTTCTATGGAACCCTGCAGTATTCAATTAAAATTAAGACATATCAGGTGAAAATAATCTCTCATGCCTAAGTCTGCCTAAGTCCGCCTAAGTCCTTGTCACATGCTTGGCTTTTTCCCCCTTTCTTTTTTTTTTTTTTTTTCTTTTTTTCTTTTTTTTCCCTGCAAGCAGACTCCAAATTGACTAGGCTGAGATGCAAGGCATGCTATATTTCCTCATTAGCTACCTAGATTGATCGTAAAATTTGTTTGTTGATACCTATTTTTTTCTTCATGCTTGCAGACAGGATTCTAAGCAAAATGGGTGAAGGTTAGTAGATAAGCATGGGATTTTGTTCTCTAAATATATGCATTATTAAAGTTACCTGTTGATAATTATATTCTGTTTCTATCCTGTGTAACTTTGTGGGGTTATTTTCTAAATATAGTCCATTCAATGGTATTCTTCAGGAACATTTGGGCAAGTCCTAGAATGCTTTGACAATGAGAAGCAAGAAGTTGTGGCCATCAAAATTGTTCGCTCCATACATAAGTATCGTGAAGCTGCCATGATTGAAATAGGTGTTCTACAAAGGCTTGCCAGGCATGATATTGGTGGCACTCGGTAAGGATGTCTTTTAGTTTTTTGCTTGTCTAATTCTTTGTAGAAACTAAAGTGATTATGGTATAAGCGATTTCATTCCTTGCAGTTGTGTGCAAATACGGAATTGGTTTGACTATCGTAATCATATTTGTATTGTAAGTATCTATTGGTATTTGCAAATTGCAATTTGATTAATTTGAGGGGGCAATACATTCCCTTTCATCCTAAATATTCTGTGAGTTAAAAAACTTGCGGATGAATTTAAATGGTTTCAACAGGTATTTGAGAAGCTTGGACCAAGCTTATACGATTTTCTCCGCAAAAACAACTACCGTTCATTTCCCATTGATCTTGTTCGGGAGCTTGGCAGACAAATTTTGGAGTCTGTAGCATGTGTGTGGATAATTCTTGCACCATTTTAATATGTTTTTTTTATGTATTTGATGCTTAAACCCTTCTTAATGTGAAGCTCATGTTTGGGCATTGATAGTGTTATTAGTTTGCTTAAGTTTGCCAATTTTTCTTGAAAATCAAGGAAATTTTTGTTTGGATAAGTATGACATTGATAACATTAAAATTTCATTCCCCAGCATCCAGCCACCCAAAAGAATCATTTAGCTTTGCTTCTAATTAACCTTTTTTGCTTTGATAATGTGCAGTTATGCATGATTTACACTTAATTCACACCGATTTGAAGCCGGAAAATATTCTTCTCGTGTCATCTGAATATGTTAAAATCCCTGATTATAAGGTATTCATTTGTTTTCCACCTCCCTTGAATATCTTATTATTTTGTTCTGACCATAAGTTGGAGAGAAAGTAAATTATTTGTGAATGAATCTAGAGTTTCTGAAAGTGGTTTTACATGCTGGTTTTGACCTGTTGCTCAATTTAATACTATTGAACCTGATACCTATGAAGTCAAAAAATTCTGGTTTGCTTTTTTGGCCATCAGAAAATTCAGGTTGCTGACCTTTTATCTCTTCTGAATAATTTTCTTTGGATGTGTTTTAGTTTCTATCACGATCAACAAAAGATGGTTCTTATTTTAAAAATCTTCCCAAGTCTAGTGCAATTAAGCTCATTGATTTTGGGAGCACAACACTTGAACATCAGGATCATAGCTATGTCGTGTCAACACGGCATTACCGTGCACCAGAGGTTATACTTGGTAATTAATATCTCTGGGAATCGTTTTCGTTAAATATTATGATGTCTTTCATATACCCCTTTTTGATGATTTTTTTTTTAATATATTTTCAGGTCTTGGATGGAACTATCCTTGTGACTTATGGAGTGTTGGTTGCATATTGGTTGAACTTTGTTCTGTATGTATCTCTATACCGTCCTCTTGTTCCCTTCTCTCCTCCCACCCCCAACAAAAGGGAGAAAAAAGGACTAAGGGAGCCTTAAATCAATCTTTGACAAAATGAATGGGAAAAATATTCACTACTTTTGTTTTCAAATCATTCTGCTAGTCCAGTTCATAATCCTAATGGTGCAATGATTTTGTTGATAAGAACTAATTATAATTCAAGTTACCTGGAGAAGATGTGTTAGGCCCTTGGATTTTTAACATATTATGTGAGCTAAATTGAATTATCTAAGGTGTAAACTTAAAATTGAGATGATTGGTTTTGAGGACATTGGGCTTATATAAATTTCTAGAACTAACCATGCCTGCTGTATTATTGACCAATAGGGAGAGGCACTTTTTCAAACTCATGAAAATCTGGAGCATCTAGCTATGATGGAGAGAGTTTTAGGGCCATTACCGCAACATATGGCTCTCAAAGCTGAGTAAGAGGCATCTCATTGTTGCTTGATTTCTTTTGTAAATCCTTCAAGCTTTTGACATTTTACCTCGTACTTGATGTTATTGCAGCCGCCGTGCCGAGAAATATTTCCGAAAGGGTGCACGGTTGGATTGGCCTGATGGTGCAACTTCGAGAGAAAGCATGAGGGCAGTCTGGAAATTACCACGTCTGCCGGTAATTTTCTTGGAATATGCAAAATATGCATCTTGAAAATGCTTATGGGAATTATATTCTAATACCAACCAGATATTGCAAACATACTTTGCTTTGGTGCTTACATAACTAGCGCCCACATGATTGTTTGCATATGGTGCAGAACCTAATAATGCAACATGTGGATCACTCAGCCGGTGACTTGATTGATCTACTGCAAGGGCTACTGCGTTATGATCCTGCTGAGAGGCTCAAAGCTAGAGAAGCACTAAGACATCCGTTCTTCACCAGAGATCTTAGAAGATACGGTTATCTCTTGTAAGTTCTGGTCTTTGTTTATAATGAGCTTTGATCAACCTCTTGCCGTGAAGAAAATGTAAACCAACATGGTTTTGTGAGTGTCATTCTATTTGTACCAACATTTCCGTATAGTAAAGTGTACAAGCATTCCCCCAAAATGCTATTAGCCTTTTGTTTTCTTCTTTGTTTTGCGTTCAGTGTGCTGATCCTCATTGAATTGTATCCGCCGGAGAATTCTCCGGTGGGCCTGTCATATCCTCAAGAAAGCAACACGAGAAATGTTCTTGCCGGAAGTTCTTATTGTTAATTTACTTGATGTTTTCACTATGTTTCGAACTTTTAATTTTGAACATTTAGTCCTTTAATTTATTTTTATATTTTTTGGTTTCTAAACTTTAAAAATGTATTTTTAAAATTTTTTCATCACTTCATTTGTTAAATTTAACTAAATATATATAACTTTAGTTTTTAAATTTTTAATATATGCATATTTTTTTGTCTTTATATCATAAAGTTTAGGGAGTTAAAAGGTGTATTTATTGATAAATTCAATAGATTAATTGATAAAAGATTAAATATATATATATATATATATAAAGTAAAAGAAACAAAAAAGAACAAAAAAAAAAATGTCAAGAGATGAAATGGTTGAAAGTTTGGGAGCTAAATTGTGGCGTTTAACCATTTAATGGCAGAGATTTTCTTATCTCTGACCTTTTTTTGTTTTTCTTTTTTAATTGGGGTAAAAATCTTAGCTTATCACTTGACTTCGTCTTGCCCTTATGGGTTATTGGGAGTTCTAATTTTTTTTATACAGGATATAAGAAGTTTAATATGTGGAAGGAGGAAAAAAA